AAGAAAGGAAATAAACGATCGATGAGATGATAAAAGTGAACATATAGAACATGGTAACAGCATGTATGTGATCGAAATCGATTCTCAAATCTGCCTGCATACACCGCCACGTGTACCGACGTTTAAGTGGATCGTAATTTGTAAATTACTATGGACTTCCTAATTATATGCTGGTATATGATAATACATGTGCTCTGCCACAATAAAGCAGTTTTTTTTATCTAAAACGAAGACCGTCATTTTTATCCTGACGAACCACGGAATTCTGTGCACCCTGCGCGACTAAATATTAACACGTCCGATGAATAGTAATCATAATCAACTGATACATTTTACTTTCTATTTAATTCCATACAAAATACTCGTTATCCTTGACGACACTGTACGTGTTAATATATATGAGTCGCTCCTTTCATTTTCCTCTATAAAATATAAATTTTATGGACTTGCATTTCATAATTAAACGAAACTAGATTCATAATGAAAATTTACAGCGGCTGAACGTTTCAGAAATTCTAATTTCGTGTTATACCACCGCTTTCACTTACATAGGTTATGCGAATGCATTAACGCTTTTCCAGGTCAAGATTCGAAATTTACCATTTCCACACGATCCCCTGAGATTATGCTTCATCTGTGTTCACCGCCGCTAAAAGAGGCTAGTTTACAATGTAAACTGTACTTTACACCACTCTGATAGTAAAATCAGACGAGGCATGAAAATGTACAGAGAAAAGACTTCACGGAAGTGATAAATTTCAGATTTTTACCTGGAAGGCATTAATATATATATTCTGAATGTACGAAAATTTAGATCTACTTTCGCATTAGTAATCTAAAACTTCAATAAATGCGAATTGATCGAATTTGAAAACCTTAGAATAAGAAAATAATTTCATTGAAATTATTGTAAAATTTCATAAATTATTCGTTTCCTTTGAACAGGGGACGATATATAAATTACAGTTCATAAACTTATGAAATGCACGTCTTCCTCATTCTATAAATTCAGTGCTTTTATGCATTGACTTTATTGGCCAGCTATGACTGTGAAAAGTCATAAGAAAACTTTAAGCATCGAGTCATGATAAGACTAGATGTTTTTCCTTACAACATGTTAGCGATGGACATAAATCCACGTGAACGCCAGATGTGAGTCGGGCTTGGACAAGCGGATTACAGAACGAGTTTCCCAAATTACGGACATCTCGACATTAAGCCACGTTTCCGCAGGCACAACGTAAGCTGCAAAACATTCTTAGGTCTTCCAGTACCTCGTAAAAACGATCCTTTTCAAGAGCATCAACTACATTTTACAATGCACTCGGGGGACGCAGCCTTGCATCGTTGCTGTTCTTCGTAAGGGCCTTAGGAAACTGCCTAAAAAATTATCGTCTCTGTTTTTACATTCTCATCTGGTTAGACTTTATAATAGCGGTAATGTAGAATCTTGTCTAATCATCGTACAGTCTAATCATCGTATGTGATATAATGAAATTTGAAGCCTAACATGTCTCGATTTTTCAACTAACCCAATTTACAATTTAAAGTATTCCTCAGTTTCTTAATAAAATATCGAATCATTAAACAATAAATATAAATAATAGAACGTACATCTAATTATATTACCAGATTGGATATCGATTTAATAAGAGATGGTTTGTGAAGATAAGTTTCTTTCGAATGCCCTATGCAAATATTTTATTGACTAAATCTGGGAAAAGTAGAGACGTGGCTGGTACGAAATTACATACATCGAAAGTCCTATACAATACAACGGAAAAGACAAGGCAGGTCATTGATACGTTCAAAGGCGTGAGGGTAAGTTAAACTGTCTCAACGATAAACGTGGCAGCGTCGCAGTTCTGCAGTTCTTTACTTTTGTAACTGGTTGACAGAATTATAAAAGATTTGTATCTTTTATACAGGCAACAGTAGAATACTTAATAGAATCGATCGCCAAAATAATTAATAAAGTGTTCATAATCAGAATATGCCATCTAATTTCATACGTTCCCTGTAACTGAAAATTTCGTAGATTCATTCAATAATTTCTTCCTGATATAAATAACAATCAGCGCCATTTTTATTTTCAGAAAGATCGTAATATTTCCATTGTAAATGTGTATATATATATAATAAAGTATTATCAATGCGTTTGAACCTAATTCATTGTAACCTAAAATATCATTTTATTATAAATTCATAATAAAGTACTTTGTAAAGATGTGATTTATAAAAAACCTATCCCAGAAGTTCTCACCGAATAACATGTGCCGACTATTCGAGTTCGTAGAATTGAAATAAATTTATAATCCGAAGAGAATCATTAACAAATGATCGGCAGTGATTTGTTTAAAATATTAACTATTGGAAGCTTAGCGTATTCTTCAGAAAGCTCTGATTCGCGTTCTATTTGAGTCAGTTCCCGTCAGTTTGATCATGCGTGACTGTACCCGCACGCAGTGGTGGGAGTAATTGTTCATGAAAATTTGATAGGTTTGCATTAACTCCGCCGACCTCTTAAACACCTGGCCGATCAATCGGTAGATATCAAAGATAGATCTAGACTGTATCGTTCCCTTGATCGTATAACACGTAATACTTTCCATTACGATTAGAAAGCAGCGATGCATAATCACCGATGATTGCAGCCATCTTGTAATATTTTCAATTTAACAAGAATACGATCAAAGTCGAACCGACGAGAGTAAGTTGATTTAAAGAATACTGTTGTTATACCGTGTAAGCTCTCAAGTTTCTTCAATTCGACAATGATTCGGCGGGCGATGAGATAAATCCATACTAAATAATCGTTCCATTCGGAGGAAAGGGGCCTTCGCATTATTCGAAACTTCGTGTGTAAAAGCGGTCGGCTTCAAGTGCGACGTGATCGATACGCGACTGACCCACCGAGTAGTTCCGAAGGAATCCGTGGCGAGTCGAGAACGGCCGAGCTCCGACGGAACCGGCCGAAGTTTGGTGAGCAAACGACGCGTACAGAAGAACGCGGGGTCTTCTCCGGCTTGGGTTGAAACAGCGTTCGCGTCTACGGGCGCGGCTTTGCGTCTCGAGCTGGCGTTTTACACGGTAAAATGTCCTCCCTCGATTATCTGGACCTGTGTCGGCTGTGTCTCGTGAAGGACCGTGCTTCGGTGCCGATTTTCGAGGGCGAGGGTGACGAACGGCAGATTTTTCTCAAGATCGCCGCCTGTCTACCGGTCAAGGTAAGCCAACTACGCCATCGCATCGACAATGGCGATCCGCCATCTTGTGCATTTTCATAGCTACGCCGCGTTTCCTGGACCGTCCACGACTTTTCAACCTCCCAGTAGATATACGTTCGGTTCTGTTTCTTTCAGCGATCGCCCTGTATACCGATGATATTCATGAAGCAATTGAAAGTAGCCCGAATGTAGCGACATCGAAATAGCCCGTACATTGGTGTCGCAGTGTTTTCCTTTCCCTTTCCTTCCCGTTAAACTATGTAGCTCGCCCACGACGCCAACGATTATTTAATAGAATTTTGCCGCGCTTTTTTTCCAATTTTAACCCGAATTCGCGTCGGGTGTTCTTGGAATTTTGCCCACGTTAATCCTGCCCGTGATTTTTTCGCTCGTTATTCGAGGGTAATGATCCATAATATTAATTTTCTTCGGGCGATTAGACTAATTGAATAATCGTCCTCGTTTTCGACATCTTGTGTTCGATAGTATTGTTTCTATTGTAAAATACGCGTAGCATTGCTATCGCATTGTTTTTAAGCTGTTCCATTAATAGGCGTTTCTCTAACATTACGACGTAATATTTTTGAATCTTCTTTTATTGAAACTACAGGTGA